TTCCTAAATTTCGCTGTTTGGGATTTTAATTTCTGAATCTCCGTTACAAATTTCTTTCTAGATGTCGTCCACCTTTGTCGCTGAGCACACTCTATAAAATTTTTCTTTTCTCTATTTTTCAATATTTTATTACGATTTTCTAAGGATATTATTTTGTTCTTCAAATTATCAATACATAATTGTTTATCTTTACACTTAGGTCATTCAGGGATATTGTCACTTAGGGCATTGTCACTTGTGAGTTTCATTTCAAAATCATTCACATTTGATTTATTATTGTCAGCTTCAATTTCGTTCTGGGCCTCAAAATAAATTTTCTTTGGGCTTAATTCGTGTAGTCTTTTAAAAGCACTGTGCATTAGTTTTCTTTTCAAATGTATCCGATTTCTTGGTGTTATTTCGTTTACTGCACACGATAAATTTACTTTAAGCACAGTATTGCATTTCAACAGTTTCCTTTGCGGCAATCCAAGCAAGCGATTTCTCGTGTCATCTTCATAATCATTGCACAGAAAATGTGCGCCGCAAATTCTCGCGTTTTTAACATTAATAGAATCTTGTCTTCGACATTTGTGTATCCATTCTTTCGACAAAAGCAAATTGTCCTTTGGGAAAGCATAAAATACAATATCTCTTCCTTTCGTATTTGTATAAGTGTTACGGCACGTTGTTACAGCACGAGAAGGTAACATAAGGAGCACGAGAAGGTAACATAATATAAAGGATACTTTAGAATTTAAAAGGAAAACTGACTGAAACTATATATATATATATACAAATTATTAAATGCTTGCATTATTAGAAAATAAACATGTATGATTAAAATTAATTTGGGATATGCGACCTCCAGAAAATTGTCTTGAAAATGAATTAAACTACAGTTTTGAACGCGTGAAATCAAAGCAGGTGCAACACAGACACGTCAGATTACTTCCAGTTAACCCCCTCTATAAGGCTCGCGTCGGCGAGGAGTCGAACAAAGGAATGACTTAGCCCTTCTATTTATCCCTGAATAAACATAAAAATTGTTTAGCTATATTAAAATCGCACTTGATAGCATTTTGTAAAAAGCAAATTCGGCGCCGTAAAATGATACCTGATCAAGTAAGTAATTAATTTCTTGTTAGAGGATGTTGCTTTGGACGTAGTTTGTCAGTAGACCGTATTTCACAAAACATGATAAGATGGTAGAGCATTAATCGATTTCATATAATTCAAGTACCCTCGACTGATGGCAGAATAATCATCAATGTAGCAGTTTATAATTCAAAATTTAACAGCACAAAACAACATGTTATTGATAAAACACAACATATTTATATAATTTCCGCATCAAGCGGCGGCCAAAAAAATCAAAACAAATATTTCAAACTTCAAAAAATCAAGCATCATTCTATAAGAGAATTCTAAAAATCAAGTTATTTTTTGCACCGCTTTCGGCGTGTGATGATAGCGCCATCTATCTACTAAAGGAACAAGTTTTCTATTGGTTTCTAAACACAAAGAATGTATCTGGAAAATTTCCCAAGCGAAAAGCTCTAATCTTGAAAAAAAAAAAAAAAAAAAAAAAAAAAAAAACTGAAAGGTTTCAGATTTTAAATTACATCTAAAGGGGCGTTTTTTTTAACGTTTTGTGCGTTACCATATTAAATATGATGTTCTTCGCACTTAAACCATAAAATTCAGTTCAAGAGCTATATCGCAAAATACTTTTAAAATCAGCATATCTTTAGAATTTACGATACACAGTTTCCTGCGCTGGAGATAAAAGTGTTTTTTCTGTACACCATTACCATGGCTCGCTTTGAAATCCTTGAATTTGTTAATCAAAAATTCGTTAAAGTTTTACAAAATATGAAATCGATAATAAAACAAACTCTAAATTTGGGCTTCCAGATGCCCATATTCGCATTTGGTTTACGTGATTGCAAATTGGATAGCTCTAGGTACTGTTGTTTTATCACAATGCCAGAAACATGTATACATTTATGTGGATTCTTCATTATTTAATTTCTTCAAATATAAAACTGGGCGATAATATTTGGTGGCAACAGTTTGAAAAGTGAAACAGATATTCAGAGTAATTCGACGCAAAATTGCAAAACGAATACAGTAGTCCCTCAGGGTCAAAGCCCCTTTGGATTAATAATAATGATAATGGCGGCTGTGAAAAGCTATTTGTTAGATTAGAAACGTCTATAAGTCTCTGTCTCTTCGTATTATTATGATACATTACCGTCGAATTAATTATTCATTGGATCTATCAAATTGAAGATTCTACGTTGTTTCCATTCTCTGCGACGTAATTTGTTATTGAGATTATAACGGTGCTTATAACTTAAGCAGTGAACAAAGGAAATTACATACGCAATATATGTATGTAATTAATTAATTCTTAATAACATGCCTACACGATTAGCTCAATCGATAAAAAACGCTTCTGATGCCGCCATAGAACAATTGTGTAGTTATAAAAATAGTGCGCTAGTTAATGTTTTGTTTTTCATAATCTAAAATTTTAAATAAAGAAAATAATGATAAATGGAAACAGTACATATTTTTTCCATCAGAATTAAAAAGATTTTAGCTGTTGTTACAAAACAAACAGCCAAGCAAATATAATAAAAAAAGAAGGTACATCTTAAATGTCGTTTTGTCGAGAACTCGTAACTGTCGAAATCTATGCAATTCTTGAATACTCTTTTCCAAGAAAAACCTGATGTAAAGTGAAAACAAAGCGAATAATTCTGCAGAGTAATGTTATATTTGGCATAAGAAAAATAATTAACACTCGGCCTTTTTGTATTTGCTATATGGATTTTTTTTTTTTTTTTTTTTGCTTAGTTTGTTTCCTTTTTCTTATTTAATTAGCTGATTTTGTGGCTTGGTAGAGTTAAAAATATTGTCACGTAAGGGAATACTTGTTGCAAACTGTCTGCACAAGCGATCCGCAAAAAAAAAAAAAAAAATATATAAATTATTATAATATAGTAACAAAATATCATGTATAATATCTAACCAATTTTACCTCTTCATCTGAGTATTTTATAATACTGTTTGCGTGCGTACGAGTTCGTTATGAAATGAATGCACAAGTCCGATGAAAAATGAACAAAAATTTATTATTATCACAACAAAAATGCTTACATTTTCTCAAATTATCATTCAGTATTACAATATCTCACAGTAGTTATCTTTTAACTACTCAAATGTCCAGTAGAACGTAATTCAAAACAGCTAAAGAACGCTAATCCGCGAATTCGCTACAATCAACAAGAGTAGTTTTCTAAACAACAACAAACTTAGCAACTACTGCGAACTGAGATGTTTGCCTCCTTTTATAAGATTTTAAAAAAATCACGCGCTAGAATTTTCCAGTACTTTCTCGAAATCAAAAAGAGATATTTATTTATTTAATGCACGCGCTCTTGTATTTTCAATTTTCCTGCTTAGCTTTCTTCTTTTAATATTCGTCACGCGCTGCACTGCGCGGGAAATAAAACCAATTAATTTATAATTGAACTAACATTAGCTTTTTAAGTACCGAATCCGTAACACTACCATATTTAACTATCATTTTTATTGAAATATTTAAAATTTTGAAATTAATTGATTACATATGGAGCTTTGAAAATTTAGCTTAGCTTTTAGAGATCTAAATTAACGCTATGATTGACTGAAAGATTTTTTAAAACAATTTTCGACGTTATGCTTGTTGACTAAGTAATAAACTGTTAAAATTAAAATTTTTCGAAATATTTAAAAATTTATTATTTACCCCTAAACGGGTGTTTACAGACACATACACGTTTTTTTTTGGCAAAGCGAGCAATGGCAACGTTGTACAGAAAAACATTTTTATCTCCAGCGCGCAAGACTCTGTATCGGTAATTCTAAAGATACGCTCAATTTAAAACTATTTTTCGATATTTCTCTTGAACTGAATTTTATGGTTTAAGTGCGAAGAACGTGATCTTTCATAAATAAAGGTTACAAAATGTTAAAAAAACGCTCCTTCGGACTAATTTAAAATCTGAAACCATTCAGATTTTCTTTTTTTTTTATTACATTAAATTTAAGTTATGACGCCATATGTATTATTTTGAAGTGTCAAAAGTTTTGTTTCCTGATTTGGCAACAAAAAAAAATTTTTTTTTACCAATTGGTTGCTGCTTGGAGAGAATGAACTGTCTTCATTCATATTGAAATGTTTTTATGCACTTTCTTTTCAGGTGTACATAGAACCCATAAATTTTACTTTGATCGCAGCTAGCGACTTTCTATATAGTACATTAAATTAATAATTAATTTTATTTTCAGTACATAACTTATAAATATTGCTCGGCCGCAGTCCGCTATTATGTTTAACAAAAAAATCTGATGTGGCCATTACATCTGACTTGTACGCCTATTGAATTATACTCATTTTTTGCTGCGTTTCATTTGAACTTATTTTATTTGAAAGTGAGAAACGATCTTCCCATTCAGAGTGCCCTTTAGGGACTGGCGATTGCAGTAAGAAGAGAGATGCACAAATAGATGTTATGGTAATCCCCTATACAAAATTTTAACATTTTACAGCTAATCGCTTTTGAGTTATGAGAGAGAGATAGGTACATACACACATGCGTACGTACAGACGTCACGCCGAAACTAATCTCACACATACCGAAACTAGTCTCAAACACAAAATTACAACATTTTATGGCAATTTTTTTTTTTTTTTTTTTTTTTTTTTTTTTGCGTATTACGTCTTTTATTTGTTGAGGTTTTATGTTCCTGTGGCTTGGGTTACCGTACTTCGCTTTAAGCTGTAATTTAACAAGAAAAAATCTTGAAAATAACGAAACTCTTCAGCCCTTAACGTTGTTATTAGATGCATAAATGCTATTTAAAGATCTAAAATTGCGATCAGTTAAAATTCTCAAATTCAAATGCTTAATTTTCGGACGGCCCCTGAGAAGAGAGCTCGCTCAGCCTTAGAGGCGCCGCTATCGCCCAATCACGGCAGAGTGCGGGATGATGTGCGATCGGCGCGTTTGTGTGGTGGAGTGCATTGTGCAGAATTTAACGAGGCGTTGTTAGAAGAGTAGATGTGAGTCTCCGAATAATGAAACTGACCGTCGGTATCACCACAGATCCTCGGTCATGTCGGTATTAATTTCATCTTTCGGCAGCTGAGTGTGCATTACTGGGAACTGTCGCACAAGTAGTAACAAACATGGCCGTCATCTTGTTTGTATCGTGGTTACCGGTGTTGCTTGTCCTCACGACGGCCGCAATTCAACATGGAGGCCACGCACAAGTTGTGAGTTCGCGTGTCTCAGACCGCGAGAGTTTGATTCCTCATCATGGACGCTGCGAACCGATAACCATACCACTCTGCAAAGATATACCTTATAATGAAACCATTATGCCAAATTTGCTGAACCATCAGAAACAAGAAGACGCGGGATTGGAAGTGCATCAGTTTTTCCCTCTCGTTAAAGTACAGTGTAGCCCCGATTTGCAGTTTTTTCTGTGCACTATGTATGCTCCCGTTTGCACTATAATTGAAAGAGCCATACCACCATGCCGATCGCTTTGTATGAAGGCTCGTGAAGGTTGTGAACGACTCATGAATAATTTTGGGTTTCAGTGGCCCAAAAGCCTGGATTGCGATAAATTTCCGGAAGCGGGAGGCGATATGCTATGTGTTGGTGAAAACAATACTGAAAGGGCACAACATCCTGCACCTGGAAGTGGTTATCCACTCACTCCCGTTCGCAATAATAATACTATTACTAAAGGTCGTAAATTTATTTGCCCTGAAGAGTTTAAAGTGCCAAAAGGATTGGGATATGTGTTCCGTGTTGGAGAAGCCGAAGAAAAAGATTGCGGGGCTCCTTGCGATGGTATGTTTTTCACAGCACAAGAGAAGAAATTTGCTCGAACTTGGATTGGTGTATGGGCTATTCTGTGTATGGGTTCAACTCTGTTTACCGTGCTAACATTTCTGATAGACATGCATCGATTTAGATATCCAGAACGACCTATCATATGTTTGTCAGCATGTTATTTCATGGTTGCAATTACTTATGCAGCAGGCTTTGTTTGGGGTGAACATGTCTCCTGCAATGAACCATTCTTACCACCCAATAATCGTACAAATATTGAAATGGTACGGACAATTACCCAAGGGAATGATAAAAAGTGGTGCACAATTTCCTTCATGTTTCTCTACTTTTTCAGTATGTCAAGTTCAATATGGTGGGTAATACTGACTCTTACTTGGTTCCTTAGTGCAGGTTTAAAGTGGGGCCATGAGGCAATCGAGAATAATTCTCAGTATTTTCACTTAGCTGCATGGACGGTACCTGCCATCAAAACCATAGCCATCCTTGCCATGCGTAGAGTCGAAGGAGATGTGCTCAGTGGAGTGTGTTTTGTTGGTCTGTGGAATAGAGATTCTCTACGTGCATTTGTCTTAGTGCCACTTGGAGTGTATTTGGTGCTTGGAACTCTTTTCCTTCTTGCTGGCTTTGTGTCATTATGCCATATCAGAACCATCATGAAGCACGATGGAACTCGTACCGACAAGCTTGAAAAACTCATGATTCGCATTGGAGTGTTTTCAGTGCTCTACACAGTTCCAGCAGTGGTTGTTCTTGCCTGCTATGTATACGAGACGTACTACTTTAACTTCTGGATGGTGTCTTGGCAAAGAGAGAAATGCAATCGTCCATTATATAGCATACCCTGTCCAGATGTTGAAAGAGACTACAATTTCTGGCCTAAACCAGATTTTGCAGTATTTATGATAAAGTACCTCATGACTCTGATGGTAGGAATCACTTCCGGTTTTTGGATTTGGTCGGGGAAGACTTTCACATCATGGAAAAATGTTTATCTTAGATTATGTCGAAGGATATACCGTAATGAAGCTCAAGTGTGATAAAATTTTGTGCCATATATTTATACTGTCATTGATATCTCAAAATGATTACTTTGTGAACTTAAGTTAATTTACTAATTGAAAGTTATGTTGAATGACATGGTAGTCAGCATAATTTATTTACTAATGCTGTGAAATGTGTTAGCAGTATGTTAGCCTGTGACTACCATTTTTCAACCTTAAATTTAGCTGAAACTTGTTTAAATGAATAATTATTTTAGATTATTATGCATACGTGAAAATCTATATTTCATCATCATCATCATTTGTATATTTTTAAATTATATCAAATAAGATTGTGTGCAATCAAACACACACAGTACAAGTTTTTATTTTCCTAGTAGAGCATCAGAATCATTTTATCAGTTAATGAAATTGGAAATGCATTCATCAGATGGAAAGGTTCACAACAGGAGACTCTTTCGAAAAGCCTGTAAAAGGTAATTGCAGCATATCAAATTTAAGATAATATGTATTTAAATATTTGTAAATTATTGCATGCAATTCTAGTTCATTTCTATAGCTGACCATGATAAAAATTATTTTAATTAAGCAGTAATATTTTAAAATGAGGTTTAATTACTATGATCTAAGTTTTATTTATTTGTTTTATGTGTTTGTGTATGAATGAATTTTAATCTGACGTAAATGCATAAATTTATATTCTTAAATACTTTACATGAAATGTGTATAAAAACCAAAATTCTTTTTAAATTAATTGTAGGTTATTTAATTAAATAATTCAAAATAATGTTTAAATGCACATATTCTTAAGTAAACCACTCAGAATTAGTATTGTACCCCAATTTGGAATTGTTCTTTAGAACTCTGTTGTTGTTATATTTTAGAAAATGCGTGAATATATGCAATATCATTCTAAAGGAGTCTTACCGATGACAATTTCAAATTAAGAAAGAAATTTTATTACTTAAAATTTGGCAGAATTTGTATTTGCTTCTTTTAGGAAAAAGGATCTGAGGCAGCCTTCCTCAAAATGTATAAAAACAGTATCAGCCCAAAGCTTCTTTTGGTCTACTTTTAAGTTTAAAATAAGCTAGCTTCTCTTCTATATATTAGTTTCTGTTTTATCAGAAGCTTCGTCTTTTCATTTAAGAAAATTAAAATTATGATTCACAGTTATTAGATATATTTGGTGTTGTGATAACCTATATTTTGTTTTAAGTTCAAGAAAAGTAAAGCCTCTTGGTCAAATATTTATTTACTAGTAAAAACTCATTTTCTTTAAATTGTTTTGCGAACTTTTATGTAGATGATTATAACCAAAAATATGATTTATTTTTAAGGCTGTCTGTATTGAAAATTATTATTTAGCGTGCAAGGATAGTTCAAGGTTAGATAAAATTAGTTTGTAATTATGTATATTGTAAATATTGTTGATTTAAAAATAACATGAATATACAGAATATTATTGTTTCTTAATGAGGAGGAACCTGTATCAGTCTTCCTAAAATTGCAGTTTTTGTCTAAAACCAAAATCAGTCAAATGTTAAATTTTACATACATTTAAACACGTGTAATTAAACTTCAATTAAGTCATTGAAATGAGCTGAAAAAATTTTAAGTTAATATCAAAGACAGTTATTTTTATTAATTACATGCTCTATATTTGGATTTACTGAAATTCAAGTAATAAGAAAATTTTTAGTGGATATTTACTGGCAGTTTAATCTTAATAAGATATGAATACATTTTCTGATTTATTGATTGTTGTCATCATCTTAAAAAAAAATAAGATCTTATCATCCATTTCTTCTTTTGGTCAAAGATTAGACCAAAAATTATCTTTCATCCGTGATTGTTAGTGAGATATATGGAGGTGAATTTTTCTCCTACAGAACTCTGTTATTTGAAAAACTGTTAGATTGTTAATATAGTATTTGTTCATAAACACTGTAAATCTCTGATATATGTATGTGTCAGTCTTGGGTGATGCTGTTTGAAATAAGGATAAAACAAATACTGTAAGAGAGTAATTGTTATGAAGAAATTATTTCTGACCATAATATATTCATGTGTGCTTTAAATTCCTTATGTGAATTCTTTGTGTGCCTTTTGCTTTTATGACAGAAATCATTAACAAACTAAACAGTATCCTCAGCTTATTACTGTTGTTATATTTACTTTTGTTATCTGAGAAGTGTTGGTAGAAATAATTGAATAGGCATTAAAATGATCTCATCTTGAATGCAGTACAGAATTTAGTTGCTTTTATAAATTCAAAATGTAAGTAAAAGTTTTGTTTTTAAATACCTTTGCGTAATTACTAAAAGTAAAGAGAATTTCCTGTCTTTTCAGTTATTTTCTAATTTTGGAAAAAGAGTGAACAAGAAAAAAATTTTTTGTTTTTAAATTTGAACTTACCCATCATTTGGGGGACAAAAAGAGGGGAGAGTACAGAATCACCCACTGATTCACGCATTTCTCAAAATCGCCAACTTGAAAATAACAAGTCAAAGAATTGCACAAACTCTGTATCCATGTACACATCGACTTATTTTCACTTCATCGAAAAAAAAATATCAGATAATTGCACAAACTTGGCATTGCGTGCTCTCTTGACTTTGCCCGTGTACACATCGATACATGCCATATAAGTGGCCGATTCTGCACTTTACCCTAAAAAGATTCAAGATTAATTAAATTTGATTTTCTGAGCACTGAAAAAATGAACAGATTTTTGAAATTTTGTTATCTACTTCCTGGAATGTCAGTCATATTGAATAGTATGAATTTATCATTATTAGACTAGAAGAGAAACACGCTAATGTGACAATCAAAACCGTGAAAACACCCTTACTTAGTAGGTATAAGAACCTCATCGATTTCGAGGGCAGCTAAAGGTCCCTCCTCATCAGGAGAAAGAAATACATAGAAAGAAGAAAAGGAATCACAGAAACACGTGGTGCTTATCAGCACTGCACGTCGTTATAACTAGATTTTTAATCAGAGTTGCACTGGCCGCCTACTTTTACTGAGCCAGGCTGTCTGATCAAGCATAAAGAAATATTAGCGAAGTTAAAATAGGGAGCGAGGGGCAAATGCACATTACGCTCAAATCTGAACTTCAATAATGGAAATCAACCACTGACGGATTTTATACCCTCTGGTAGTACCAAGTGCGAGGAGGTAACGCCATCTATCGGCAAAATTGAATTAAGACAGTAGAATTTTAAGGCATTAGGAAGGACTGGATTGGATTCAAATCATTAACTAACTTTCTAAATCTTTGTGAATGTGAAAAAGCCTCAAGAAAATCCAATTCGCCTATGGAAGAAGCCTTTGGATGATTTTGCAGACCCAAAATCAAAATTATGGTTTAAAGTCCAGCATGATACCTATTGAAGACTTGTTAATTTCCCTTTTTGGACATAAGATTCATGTTCCTTGATACGAAACTTCAACGCTCTTTTTGTTGGCCAATATATCTTAAACCACACTGACATGATATACTATAATTCCCCAAGAATTCAAGACAGAAACGCAATCTTTAGAATCGAAGGGTGAATTTTATAGGGGAGAAACCGACTTGAAAATTGAATTTCTGGAGAATCCGTGCAATTTTATAGCTAACAAAGGATAAAATGGAAAAACGACAAGGTCATTGATATTATTTCTAACAGTGGAATGTCTTCTTTGATGGGAATCTGAAAATTTTTTTGACGGCTTTATCAATCTCACGGAGAAAATCCACGATCAATCGCAACTGCTCTCAAATAATTAAGTTCATTGGTAAGCAAAGATTCAGGGGAACAAACTTTTTTTTTTTTTTCGATTGAGTGTTTCATTATACCTACGCTAAATGTAAGGTTGTTTTTCACGGTTTTGATTATCATTATTAGTTTCTGAAATTAAGAAACTGATCCAGTGGTATATAAAAAGTGATTAATTTATGGATACTGTTCTGTTATCAAGACCAGATTCAGCAATATGTGCATGTATGTGTAACTGTATGCACACACGCACACATTTCTGAATCTGGTCTTGATAACAAAAGAGTTAGATTTTAGTTTCGATGCTATATTAAAACCTAAACTCATTAAGTGAGGAGTAGAATTTTTGTAATGTAGCTCTAATTATTTTCTGTGTGATCCTGTATTGAAAATTCTTGTATTTTTATTATCAGGTATCTAAATATTGTATCATTTCAGTTACAGTTATATAACTGAATTGATATACTACCTTGTAAGTTTAATTAGAAACCATATGCAATCTAAATTTAATTAAACCTGTTTTTATAATATGCTCTTAGTAATTTTTCAAAGCAGTAATAGTCCCATATATTTATAGTGTGGTCTAGGAAAGTATTTACATTTTGGGGGGGATGTAGATTTTCTGGCAGTCTTTGATTATCCACACCCACAGTTTCAACATTTTAATATAATTATCGTTTGTTTGGGTATATTTTTAAGTATATGTGGGACAAGAGCCAGCCAATCCGTCTGGAAGCCACACAGAGTTCGAGTATATTAACCACAAGTATAATTTTACGCACGGAAGGTGGCATTCACATGAAAGAGTGACTGTTGGGTTCCATTCAAGTAGAGAAATAAGAAGAGATCATTTGTACTTCCTGATACATTCACTGAATTTGTTTGTTGAAAGACTGAACAAGAAAAAGAAAAGTGTTGGCCCTATAAATATTTGTTTTTTCTTTAAAATGCTAATTTTTATTTTAAATTATTTGTAAACAATAATATACATAAACCGTAAAGGTAACCAAATATTTTTCACCAACTCTACAGTAGTAGATTGATAATCCTAGAAATAAAATCTTTGTAAGGGTGCAGAAAATCAGCAAGTAAATATTTTTTTAATGCATTATTAAAAAATTTTATTGAGAAATATATAATATTGTATTTCTTCAGTTCAAAGACACATCAGGTGTAGACCTTCCCTTTAATGTATTATCTCTTGCAAAAGTCTTTGATTTTAAGTAAATAAAATTCTAAAATATATCTATGAAAAACTTCTTTAAAAATGAGTGTCGGTTTATTATTAATGATACTATATGTACTAAAATTAATATCTCTGAAAATTTGATTACTTCAGAATAATCGGTAATGTGAAAAGATACTTCATTGATTCTCAAACTGTTTTGTCCCATGCACCCCTTTCACCATTGCCAGAATCCCCCCCCCCCCCCGTCTCTTTAAAAAACTCGAAAAATATATGCAGTTTTTTTAGAATGTGATCATTTTTACCAGAGCCGTTTTCAGTGCTCGGGCACAGCTGAAGGTTCTGTGCTGTTTGCTATAACATTTCATTCCAAAATTTTGTAATATCAGTTTGGTGTCCCTGGATGCTGTGTTTACAGGATCCCTACTTCCTAGCTATCCCCTGCTCCTGAAACTATGAAATTATCCCCTGGTCAAGAACCCCTGAGATATAATTTGACTGCCACGAACATGAATGTGCCATTCTGACCAGTTTATTCATGAAATGGTGTAGATGCATATAAATCATGTAGTACAGCTTTTTTCCCTGTTTATTTCCACATATTTCAAGTAGCACAGACTATAATAAGCAGAAAATTGTTTTAAAATAATCTAGTTGATCATCATTTATAATTAACTATTTTATTACAGCATGTTTAATGTTGTGCATTTATTTATATATTGGTAAAAATTCAAGTGGTTTTCTTACATTATCAACAATCGAAAAGAGAACAGTACTTAAAAAAATGGGGAAAAGGACTTTCTAGCCAGGTGCTCATAGAAATTAGCATTTAATTCAATCACGTGTGTTTGCGAAATTTCTATTCATATGTTTCATGATAAAAAGTAATAAGTAGATATTATTGTATTGTAATTATTTAATTTTTATATTTTATTATTTTATTACAATGAAGTCTAATAATATAATTATTATGATGATGATTCTGATAATTAATAATTTCAGCTAAAATTTATGTGTATCATACACTGAAAAAAACAAGTTCTTATAATTCTTAGTAATTATAATAATTTTATGGTAATAAGTGATTTTTGTGTTTAATTAAGTATACTATAATAAACAATTATGATTTCTGGTTTTTATGCTAAAATTTATATGAATTTATTATACATATTAGGGGATACATACATTCAAAATGACTAATTTAAATACAATTAGTAATTTTGAAAAATTAATTACTTCACAATATCAGTAATGTGGACAAAGATGTATTTCCTTTTCAGTGACATTTGTATTGGAGGAAAAAATGTATCTTAAAGAGTCTAAAAAATACAGTAGTGTGCAGATATTGGGCTAATTATATATATAAAGAGAGAATTAGAAAATGGGTAGCCAACTAAAATTAAACAAAGAAATGTTTTTAAACCAGGCAACTAAGTGACACGTTATCTTGGGACCACTGTATGTTTTATATTGATTAAATTTATTTTGTTCCATTAAGCAGTCTTATTCTTGATGAGAAACAGAGCATGATTTGATGGTAATGATAATTAAAAAAAAATACTGCAAATAATAAAAAGCCTTCAGTCGCTTTTCTTAAGTGAAATACCAGGCATCTTTAGCATTATCTTACCAGACCAGTCTTGTGTATATGTTGTATCTAAAGCATATTTCATTTGTTTAAAGTGCCACGTAATATTTAGAAACTGAATCTCATTGTGGCTAAGGATTTTGGTTGTTAGAATTTGTATATAAGTTACTGTTTGCATCTTTTTAAGAATGAGCAGCATCTTGATATTAGATGTATATGTGTCTACTATGTGAATTTGAATGTAAATAATGTAAAAATATATTAATTTTTTTAAGATAGAAGAAAGTAAGTTTATTGAAATATAAATCAAAACTTGGGATGTAAAACATTTTCAGTACTAAATGTTTTATATCATGAATAAATTAAAATTTTCTGAATTGTTTTGGAAGTGGCAGACTATTTCTGACTTTTCAATTCATATCTCTTAATTTTGCACAGTGACAGGTTTGATTTATGTGAAAATATGCAAGGTTTAAAGTGTGTTTAAGCTAAACCTTGGATTCTTGTAAATAGCTTTGCTGTAAATTAAGCTGAATATCTGTGAAAGCTTTTAAAGTTATATAAAACTTCTAGAAAAAGTAAAAATAAGCAGTATATTAGTTTTTAGGTGAATAAGATACTACTGTGTATTATGGCCTTACATCGTGCTATAAGCAAATTTTAACATCTGAAATTTAAAATGTTCGTTTTTCTAATGAAATATGACATAACACTGCTGTGTTCCATATTTTATTTAACTCAGTGGTTCTCAAATTGTAGTTCACATATTCCTGAATGCACAGCTAGATCTTCTAGTAGACTCAATAGGCCGCATGTTAGATCTGATTATTGACAGAAACAGTACAGAACATCAGTGAAAATGCTATGCTTTTTGGCTACACGGTGCAGTCTCTTCATTCCTAAATATTGCCACCAGGTACGTTTCAACTGTCTCTGCCACCTGCCTTTTAAATCATTAATTTCCTGAAATAAAAAGCAAGCATGTCCAGTTTATTTTTTATTTTATGTAAGGTATCATCAAAGAATACATTAAACATAAGTATTTTGTTTATCTGGAAGAAGTATGTTTTCAAAGGAAGATTTTGTGCTTATGGAACAAATAGTTTTTCTGCAGTGGAAGACTCCCAATTATCAAATTTCTGTTTCATTCAAAAATGAAAAAGGACTTTTTGAACTCTTGCAATAAAGCTGTGAATTTTCATTTTCAAGAAAATATTCTTGAAAGACTTTTAGTACTTATTATCTTTAGTATCCTACTTTAGTACTGTTAGGTGTACCAAGCAGTAAATACTGCTGTGAACCTACACATTC